CGTCGCACCAGACGACGTGAGCGAGACCGCTGAGGCATTCGCGGGGGGCATTCCGCCTCATCCAGACGACGACAAGACACTAATAGAGCTGGCCTATGATGGTGATGAAGCAAGAATAGCGGATGACCCTACCATGCTCAAGAAAGCTGCGTTCGAGGAACCGCATATTCTAACACACTATCCCAAGAATCCCTTTTGTCCAGTTTGTCAGATCTCGAAGTCAACTTCCAAGAGAGTCTCACGCAAACCTGATGTCAAAGACGATGACTTCATAGACCCACCAAAAGGTCCATATGAACAGTTGTCAACCGACGACGTCATAATGGCAAAAGGAGAGGACTTCGCCGGCAAAGGTGTAGGTGGGGTCAAAGCATTTCATGTAGTCCGAGACACCTACTCGGGTGCTAGAATAGCATACCCCATGAGTAAGCGTGATGCCAGTACCCACTCCAAGAACTTTCGTCATTTTTTAGGCTTAAAGGCTAACGAGGTAGCTACTCGCGTCCTTGTGAAGATGGACGAGGCTGGAGAGTAGTTGGAACAGGCAGCGCATGAAGTTGGGTTGATTCCAGAAACGTCCCTGCCAAATAGATGGCCCCATAACGCCATGATGGAAAGAGACATCCGTGAAGAAAAGGAGTGCTGCAGAGCAATCCACCTCCAATCTGGGTTGCCATACTCTTTTCACACCCACTCATATCCCTTTGCATGTCTTTCCATGAGTTTTGACAGACCGTCAGCTTTGGAACCAGCAAAGACACAATGGGAGGCGCTCACTCGCAAGCCCTTTGACGGCATGAGACATTCATTCGGTCAACTGATGTACTACCGTGACAAGCGGGTATCTAAACGCACCCTAGAGCCTAACATGTCCCCATGTTTGTTCTTAGGCTGGCGAATAGATGCTGGTTTTCGGTATCGTTATGTTGTTCGTGTTCTTGACTACATGGATTACAAAGTTAGTGGGCATGTCAATGTCCAAGAAGTCCCCGAAGCTGAAATTTATGTTGAAGATGGTCCTCCATGTTTTCCAATGGCCTCTGTTAAGTTAGCGCACCTGAAAGGGGGTTCTTTAGGAGTCCTCGACGATCTTGCACGACTTGACATGCCGGATATCCCCATGAAGGAAATCCCTTTTGGACTGGAGGGGGCTGATGCCGTCCCACCAACTCCCATGGATCCCAAGACCAGGGGGGCGTATATCACTTTGGATCGCATCATTCGGTTTAGCGAAACCCCAGGATGCAAAGCGTGTGAAAAAAAACACGATACCACACGCCTGCATGTAGGAAACGTTTTGCCAAACTTGTTGACGAGGAGAGACGCGACCTTCTTACCAAAAGGAAGGAAGGCATCACCGTGGAGGAACTTCCCCCGCGGGAGCCCGAGACCGCACCTCCGACAGATTCATCCGAGGATGCCACCGAGGATGAGTCACACATCATCGATGCGACTCCGACTGTGATATCAGGGCTATCGCTCTCGCCACATACCACATACAGGACACAACTCATCCACACTCGCCCTGAGAGTGGAGTCCCGGTGTTTGGCATGCCATCAACAGCACAACCAGCTCAAGTTTCTAAGTCTAAGAAGAAGAAGAAGAAACCGCGTAAGGCGCGGCCTGGCCGATGCATGTTCGAATTTGCATGTGCCTCGGATTCGCAAATGCACGAGACTTTTCTGGAGATGGGGATTCCCCACATTGCCCTTTCGAAAGAGCACCTCGACCTAGACGATCCCCAAATGCAAGCGCAGTTGCATCACCATATAAGCACCTGTGATGAGATTCCTGATTTATGGGCCTCAATCCCTTGCACATCAGGGTCTCCTTGGCAAAGGGTAAATCGCATGAAAGGGGGGCTTAAATTCATAAAGAGGCATGCGCTCCAGGTTAAGGAGTCTAAACGTTTATTTGCCGAATTCGCCAAGTCTGCAGAGCTCATTCTAGCTCGAGAAGGCACTGTAACTTTCGAGTGGCCTAAAGGGTGTGAAAGTTGGCAACGCACAGACGTAAAACATTTCTTTGATAGCCACCCCGAATTTATTCCAGTCGAATTTGACGGGTGTGCTGTTGGTGTGAAATCCACTAAAGGCAGACCCATTAAAAAGAGGTGGCGCCTGATGACCACCAGCAGGGCTATCGTGGACATGTTCTTGCAGTTCCAATGCACCCATAAACCCCACGAACGTGACCAGGCGGTCGGGTCGCAGACAGCTCGTACTGCATTTTACCCAAGGCAGATGACTGTCCAAATTGCAAAAGCCCTTTACCCTAGCATGTCCTTTTCCCATAATGCCCCAGCCATGCCATACCCATGAACATGAGCACCGGGACAAAGAGCAGATGCTGAAACACGTGTCAGCTTTGTCGGGAATCGACGCTATGGCCATCGCAGTTGAGACAGATGACACTGTCGAGCAAATGGTTGAGTGTTTAATGGATGTCAGTGCTCTTATGCACGAGGCCTACCAGATCCCACAGACCGAAGACGGCAAAGATCAGGTAGCAGCTATGGTCACCAAGCTCCTAAGCCGCACCGAGATGCTCAGCGATCCCGAAGCCTTGCAAAAGGTTAAGGACGAGGCAGCCGATTTGGTTAACGAAGGTACTTGGGAGTATGAATCCGTTAGGGAGAAGGAGCACGTCCGTGCTGAGGCTAAGGCTTCCGGAGTCTCCGTCCATTTCGGTAAACTAATGACTATAGCCTCCATTAAATTTTACGAGCTGGCAAAGGAGTTGCGGAAAAAGAAGGGTGGAATTGTCTACCGAGGTGACTGCGCAAGGGACGAACATGGCGCGGCGGCCGTCTATGAGGAATTAGGCACAAATCCGACTTCAGTCCAAGGGCTAAACACCTGCCTCGCGTACGGGTCACTACCTGGTAACCTGTGCACCGCCGCGGATGCGGTGAAAGCGTATGTGCAAGCAACACTAAAATCCAAGTATAAAACTTGGATCGAATTACCACCTGAACTTCGACCCGCATGGTGGAAGAACAAATTTGTTCAACCAGTGGTCCTTCTCGTCAAAGCGCTGTACGGACATCCCGACGCAGGAGGGATGTGGGAACAGCATTTGAAGGGCATTCTTAAGAAAATGGGTGGCGAAGAAATCCCAGAGTTCCCCGGTAACTTCTGGTTTTCTGGTCCTCGTTTAATGTTATCTACATACGTTGACGACCTCACTTTGGCAGGCCCACTGGAACACCACCAAAAGTTTTGGTCAGAACTCACGAATGTTGTTAACGTTGAACCACCCGAGCCGATTTACAGAATGCTAGGAAGGAACCACATCTACGCGGTAGTCCCAGATTCAGGAAACACCGAAACTGCTGCTTTGCGCGGTAGTGCTGACGCCCTAATCTTTGACATGAAGGATTACGCGCAGCAAACCATCGACCTCTACAAGTCGGTGGCCGGTGTTGAAAAGATAAAGTCAGCCCAGACGCCATTTCTCGCAGACGGCACATTCACCACGGCTGATGAGGAGTCGCCCGGAGAGCTCGCACCAAAAGCGTGTTCTATCCTGATGAAAGCCCTCTGGCTTGCCAGGTTAGCACGACCCGACATCCTTAAACCGATCAACGATCTAGCCACTAAAGTACAGAAGTGGACCCGTGTGCACGATAAAAAGTTGCTACGGCTCATACAGTACATTCAGCACTCACTAGACTATAGGTTAACCGCCGTCTGCGGCGATGATGCTAGTGAGCTGTGGCTAGAGCTGTTCGTGGACGCCGACTTTGGTGGTGACCAACACGACGTGAAGTCCACCTCCGGTGGGTACTTAGTACTCAGGGGCCCTAACACCCATTATCCATTAGCATGGGTGTCAAAGCGCCAGACCTCCACGTCAAGGTCCACTACAGAATCGGAAGTAGTAAGCTTGGCCTATTCGTTGTATCAAGAAGGTCTCCCTTCGTTGCAGCTATGGGATAAACTTCTTGGACGGGCCGTTAACCTCGTTATACAGGAAGATAACCAAGCCACGATTCTAGTAGTAAGGAAGGGCTTTTCCCCTAAGCTACGACACATCAGCCGAACCCACAAGATAAATCTTAGTTCATTAAAGGAATGCATCGACGACCCATCTGTCGAGATTAAGTACATCGACACGAATGAACAAGCTGCGGACATTTTCACCAAAGCGTTGCCACCACAAAAGTGGTTTAAAGCGCTATGCTTGCTTGGCATCCGTACAGATTTAAAGTGCTTAGTCCCATCTAAGACAGATAGGAGCCTTCCGAGCAGTTCGAAGCCTTCGTAGGTCGTCGAAACCGCTGCCACCCGGCGCGGTAATTCATGCATGTACAAAGGAATGCTGCCCCAAAACGGGGAGGGGGGAGTCATTTTCTGTGAACCCCTAGTATGTAACAGCATTCATTACATGTCCATTTCTGTAGTTACGGTTCACACCGGACATGTAAACACATGTTCCGTCCGTGACTCACTTTGGCTCAAGGCTCAAGGAAAATTGTGCGCCCGCGCAGTTTTCCTTCAGGGTGCCGTGTGGGCTACACTGTGTGTGGCCGCACCTTTCGCTTTGCTCTCGCACCTGCCGTCCTTCGTCCGTTCGTTCGCACGCTGCCACACGTCGTTCGTTCGGCTCGTTGCAACCACGGGGTCTCGTCCGTCCGACTCGCCCCGTGTCCCCATTAATATAGACCGTGCATCTAGGGATTTAGCTTACTTCCTTTACCACCTCCCGGTGGATAGGATAAGCTGGGCGTTCCCCTACGTCCCACCTGGATTGTACACTCAATTATGGTGGCCCTTCTGCGCCCCAAACATACACCCAACAGTGGGGAGACTGCGGAGATCCTTGAAAGGAATAGGGTGAATCAAGAGTCAACACATATTTCTTCCTTGGTGGCCTTTCTCATGCCGGCGCATCATCTCCGCATCTCACATGATCTCACATCCATGCTCAGCTGTCGTGCTTTCCCAGATGGCGGTGGCCAAACAGCTTTCGGCCCACAGCCTTCTGTCCTTTTCAGGTGCTTGTTGAAGGATGCTTGTGAAGAGCTTTGCCAGGCCAACCGCCATGAGCGGGTCGCCGAGGCGCGGGGTTTCACCGCTCTTGACATGCCAGGGAGGCATCATTCTTGCGGCCGTAGAGCGGAGATGCCAACCAAGACATGGAAATAGCATTTCACAAACCAACGGTCACTGGTGCTCAAAGATGAGCGTTTGCAAAACACTGCTGTTTTCTCATCTCAATGGATTGGACATTCAGACATTCGAAAACATATTCAGGATCCATGTCACAGGTGGTCAGAAGACGATTTTGTTTCTTCCGGCAATTCCTCACAAGTCATCCCGCATCCAGTTATAAGGCAGGAAAGTCACGGTCTTGTAGGTTTTGTCCATTGAAGGGAGGAATGCGTCATCACTTCTGGACTTTTTTCCCGGGGATGAGCAACATCAGTTCCAATATCAGGTCGCGCAGGCAGCCCACGTGAAAATAATCAAACAAGCCCAGCGCGGGCGTCCGCAGTCCTCGCTGCCTTTAGGATGTGGATTCTTGATGGCCACGAATGTCACACAACCCCACAAAATGTCAATAGTGTGAGTTATACAAGGCTCAACAAGACTCATTTGTTCAGCTGACTTAATAATGTGCTCCCAAGTTCTTCGCGCGCCAGATCATCTCGCAGTGGAAACTGGTCTGGGTCCTGGGAGCCCCGGAGCCTGCAGATTCGCCTCCACTTGACACACTTGGACCATCCCTGGCCCATGTGAGACAACCCCCCCATCCAAACGGGCCGCTTTCGTGAAGAAGGACGTCCTGGGCGCTCGCGCTCGGCGCTGGGCGCTCCACCTGTTGCCGGGGGCCTTGGGGTCGATGTCGCCTCGCCCGAGGATGACAAGGTGGACGACTCAGGCAAGGGCCTGAACCTGCGCCTGGGCACGAACTGGCCGTTTTTGACCCGACATGTTGGAACAATCTGGCTAAGGCATGCTAAGGCATGATAAGGTGTAGGAGTGTAGGATCGGCTTTCTTTTTTGGGCGGGGTGAGCCTTCCACAACTTGCACCTTAGTTGCTCCCTTTGCTTCAAATCGAGGTTGGATCCCCATGTCCGCGCCTCAATACTGGCCCATCAGAGCGCTAGGGCTGGGTCCAAAGGCCCTGTCCTGTCGACAAAAGGTTCCAAGTCCTGACCTGTCAGACAGGATTCCTTTTTTGGACTACTTCGACCTCTATTGCGTTCTGGCTTCAAAAAGGCCAGACCACAACGTTCCATGACCGGCGGGACCAGTTCAATGAAGCGGATGGCCGTGGCCTCCGTGGCCTCCGTGACCGCTGAGAGCCACCACACCGGCGCCGGAAGACGCCAAAGACCTCATGGTTCTTGGCTGCGCCCGAGGCGCTGGGGCTCATCCTGAAGCTCCGGGTCTGTTACGAGGAGGCGGAGAAGAAGCCCTCGTCCGCGGCCTGGTGAGATGTATGTTTATCCAAGGATATATCACCATGTGATGTATATGTATATATAATCTATATGTATATATACATATACACTGTACTGCAGGAAATGTCGAGGCCGAGCTTCACGTTTCTTCTCTTCCCTCCCTTCCATAATCTTCTGCCAAATAATGCTGCTTGAAGAAATAGAAATAACTGGTGGGCCCAGTGGAGAGAAGTGCGTCTCCACCAGAGTTGACCCGAACTGCATAAGATCTACATGATCTACGATCTTGATTGGCTTGATCAAGATCTCCTCCTCGAGTTTGACCACCCGAGTTCGTGAGGTCATGGCCCAGCTGTGTACGGAAGGAGCGTCCAACAAAGGGGCCGGGTTGTAGCAGGTCTTGCCTCCAAATGTGCCAGTGACATGAATTTAGCCTCTTGGGATTGATGGCCCGCCTTGATCGATGATCCGTCAGTTCTATCGTCTTCCAGTGGTCCACGTTCAGTTCTCCCTTCTTCGTATCACAAGATGGAGCTCCTGAGTCGAAGCTGCTGAGCTGTGCTGAGCTGCTGTTCTCTTGGAGGACGTGTTCCGCAACCATGCGCCGGCAGTGGCACGGAAGGTGGGCCAGGCGGGTTTCGAGTGGATGATGGCCATTCTTGGACCTGCGGGGTGGAAGATCTCTAGTAAGACTCGCTCTGACTGCGAAGAGAATGCAGAATCACATGTTCTGAATCGATCTGAGATGTGTCAGACCAACGCGTCCAACCATTGCCCCCTTTTGAATTCTTTTTGCAGCTTGCACCCCAGAAAGTAACATAGGACATCATAGCCTGGAGAATGAATGAGGATGTTCGGACACATCCTCCAGGGGAAGCACCCCATCCGAGTGATGCGTCGCCACGGAGACCCGACGCCACCGTGACCGGCCGCGCCGGCAGACCTTGGCCTCCTGTCCCGTGACCGACGTCGTGCCCACCGTGTCCGACCGCCGAGGGAAGCGTTCCGCGGAGCGTTCCGCGGAGCGTTCCGCAGGGGGGAAAGCGATGGACGCGATGGGCTTCATCTGTTTTCTTTTTTGAGACTTCTAACATGTTTCAACCTTTCCTTGTCTTGATGGGAGCCATGAACAACCAAGTGATGTAGGTTGTATATTTGGCTAAGTGACCGGCTTCCAAGGGGTCTACGGCGGCTACGATATGTATTTATGTAAGGTTTATGCGTGGTGGTGTTTTTCCGTAAGTATGGCCTCAGGATCATCTGCTCATCTATACCCGAAACGGTTCCGGTTCCGGACCATGATTTCAGCCATAAAGTTGCAGGGATTCCAGGCATTGGGAGATGCGTGCCACAGTTGTTGTGGAGGCGCAAGCGCTAGGAGCCAACGAAGAGAAGGGCCAATAGCCATTGGCTCAAACACCTGTGAAGGTCGTTGAAATCATGGCCATGCCTGTCGGATTGAAATAACACCCCAACTGAGAGGTCAACAGGCTGGGTGCATCCCTCAATTCCTTAGCTCCTCCCTGACCTTAAGGTGCCTGACAGCCTTCAACCCCATGCAGCTTGAATCACACAGACTTTTAATCCAGTTAAAAACTGCCCTCAACATGCGATCTATGGAGCACTACTGAAAGTTTGCTGATTGAGCCTTCCAGCCACTAAAGCGTTTGTCACAGAGCCAAGCCGACCGTGGGAAGACCGGAGCACCGGAATTCGCATCGACGTCCTCGGACAAACCACTTGCTTCTTCCCCACTCGTCTCTGTTCGCCTCGGTGTTCGGATGGATTTCACATGTCCGGCCCCCTGGACCGGGTGCTGGACCGCGTCAAGCGACAGAGCCTGGCGGTACCTTGGCAGAGATGCGCAGTCGACTCCCTTTTTGGTGGTTGAGGGAGTTGCTTCATGATGCAGCGGAGGATGTGAGTTGCTTTGAGTTGCCCACCTGAGGAGCAGCAGAGCTCCAATGCCTTGGGCGAGTTACTCAGGCGTGGGGAGCTGAAAAAGGTGTCCAGGTGGGTCAATCAAACAAATAAACCCCGGGTGACAAGGCACAGAATCATACACCTGGGCAATCCTGGGCATGCTTTATGTATATATGCACGAATTCGAGGCAAACCAAATTCAGGCTAATGGAGTCAATAGTCTCCCACATAATCTCCAAAAGGCAGGCATTTCTTCAACATATGTAACATATCTAGTAGCAGTCTGTTCGGAGCTTGTTGGGATACCTTTGAGTTGGACACTCGAGAATCACAGGGTGAACAGCCGGTGTTTTGGCTGTTCAACGCACTAAACATGCCACGGAACCATGTCCCCCCAAACCAACATGGACAATTCAGACTACCTTCTCATACCAAAAAGTATGTTTTCCATGCCTGTGTCATTGCTTTGTGAGTGGACGTGATTCAGACGAAAGTCATTGCTGGTGGACTGTCCAAAGCTAGCCAGCTAGCCAGCTAGCCTTGCTGCTGCCGTTTGGGTCGCGACAAACACGCCAATCAAGCTTTTAGACTCGTCCACATTCTAATGGTCAATGGTCTCCCCTCACCAGCGCACCCGTCATCAGTGCGGATCTTCTAATCACTTCTTGCTGCTGCTTTACCGATAACTTGTCACCTATCTAGCGCACGTTTGAGCCACCAAGCTTTTCTGCTTCGGGCAGCCTCAACTGCCAAGTGGCACCATGGCCAGAGCCGGCCAACGCTGAAGAGAAAGTTAGGAGAGGAGAGAGTGCTGGGACACACCAGTGATCCAACCTCTGTGCCGAGTAGTGCGTTCCTCTGAAGTGAATGTGGGCCTGCAGGGTCAGCGAGACCTGGACTGGACCGAACGTCTGGTTTGATATCTTGCAGACAGATGTGACAGGAGGATGCCAAGAATTTTCCCACCAGCTGCAGATGCTTGGCAGGAGCAAACAAGGTACTGGTAACACAGCGATTCCGTTAACAGGGACATCAAGACGTGTTTTTGCCTTCTTTCCTTGTCACCCAAACACCAAACAAACACTGAACAATTCATCTTCCACCAGTTCCCTGGACCTCTTCTCAAGGACCTGGCTTTCCAGCGCTGCCGCTACTGCACCCGCTGGAAGGACCTGTGTGACTTCAGCGTGCAACAGCTCCAATGGGCGGAGGCCCAGGCGCAGCTGGGGCGACGTCCCACACAACGGGAGCCCGTTTGCCGGGCCTGTGCCGGCTTCGCGCTACAGGCGGAGGCTCCGACCACGACCCAGGAGCAGAGGGGAGAGGTGGGAGAGGAAGGATGCATCGAAGAATCTTACAACTTCTTGTTACTACTAGCGTGGCACCTGTTACTACTAGCGATGCACTTGTTTCTAATAGCTTCTCGTTACTAAAGGTTTCTCGAGAAGTCTGGAGTGTCTTCGAACACGTTTTACGCGCCGCTCGTGGACACGGCCTCCACACCCGCCCCGGGGCCACCAGGAGTCGCAACGAAGCGTCTCGGTGGAGGCGCGCTACGCGTTGATCTTGGCCTTCTGCGGGGAGTACGAGGCGGGGGGCCCCGGTGGGGGTGGTTCGGAGCCATCGCTTGGTGAGTCCGTGACTCGGTCACTCACGCTCGTCACTCAGGGCCAACGTCTACGTCTACCGACCGTGATGTCCGGACACCCGCAGGGCCTCCCCGAGTTCAATGAAGACATTTTGCGCTGCATCATCTCTTTCCTCGTGGTGCGGGTGGCGCCTGTGGCTGACTGGTCTAGATGTTGAGGCATGCGACATCACAGTGATGCCAAAAACTGAATGATCAACGGTTGGCTGAGACCTCAAGTTTGCAGACTGAAGGGATCGTCTACGGCATACGGTGTACCAGTCCAAAATCTCCACAGGTCGGACACTGCCCTGGTGCCAAGGCCCCCTTCATCTCCGACTTGGGGGTGGCCTACCGCTGCGTGGCCTGCCAGCGAGATTTCCAGAGCCTGGAGCATGTCCTGCAGCATGCGCAAACCTCCAAGCGTCATACGACACTTGGACGTTGATTCGGACGTCGGGAGCGTGGAGACCCACGAACCACGGGTCACGGAGTTTGGCTCGCCGACGTCTCGAAGTCTGAAACTGGACCACGCGTGCCTTTTTTCCGGGTAGCTGTCCTGATCCAAGGACATGGCCCATGGCGGCCAGTTTTTGAAGCATTTGCTACCGATTTCGTTTCATTCGCGAGCTTCATGAGGAGCAGGTGCTCACGCCAACAACCAGCCGATCGATCAACCGACCGATCAACCAACGAACTGACCCGCTCACGACTACTGAGGCAAGCGCTCAAGGAAGCTGCAGGTGATTCCGTGACGGGCGGATACAGCGCGTCTGGTCACCCCAGTGGGGTTGGGTAGGGCTTCAGTTGGGAGAGGGTATGGTTGAACTGGACCCGTTTTCCTGAAACAACTGTGAGGTCACCGAAAAAGTAATCTGCAGTTGATCCACGATCCAAGCAAAGGCTTTTGATGGTGCTGTGTGAGGGGCTGCCCATTTCGGCTTGCTGTTTACAGTGTCAAAGACTATGGAATGCGAAAGGAGTGCTTTGCACAAAGCATAAACACACCCGACCCAGTGCTTTCCACCAGCCAATGGAATGGAAAACTTGCTCCGAGCCACTTCGACCACGCTGTGAGCAGCAGCTGTCCGCCCACTAAGGTTGGAAAACCCAGCATTGCAGCTGTCAGCGCCAAAACAGCGTGCGGGCAGTCTAGGTGTTGAATTTGCGTCCAGGGCTTTTATTCCTTGCCAGCGTCAATGCAAGGAATAGTGGGCGTGGAGAAGCGGCCTTTTTGCTGGTGTTTAGAATTGAAGCCCAGAATGCCCTAAGCCCACCAATCTTGCGCCATTTGGGATCAAAGTGGGAGGAGGAGGTCTGTGTCAGAGAACTCCAATTGATCTTGGGCATGCTCAAAATCAGAACTGCGATCCACAGGCTTTGTTTGGTCTATTGTTATCATTGATTGGGGGCGATCATAATAGTACAGACTCTTGAAGCCACAGTCATATTTTCAGGACAAACGACCTGCCGAGTGGAAGATAAAGGCTTTGTGTTTTACGGCGAGGGGCTCCACCCAGCATTTTGCACACTTGAGTGCCTAAGATGACACGTATGATACACCCAATATTGTTAGTAGTTATCATTGTCACCCATAGCTAATATATATATATACATATACATATGCCAACTAAGGTGAGCATAACTTTAACACTATTTGTATCATATGAGGTTTGTATGACCCGTTCACCGCTGCTAATGTTTGTCCAGACCTTCTGGACACTGCGGGTCCGAGCCGCCTAAGGGGCCCCGCGTTGCCAGGCCCTCGGCGCCGCCGGGGGACGAGGATGCTGGTTTGGCACATCTGCGGGGTGCGCAAACACCACAGGGGAGGCCGCCTGTCTGGCTTTGCACGGGCCAGTTTGGATGGCAACTGGGAGAACAGATGGCTGCAAATGATCAACTTTCTTCTTGTGCGCGATTTTTGTTCCACCCACGTGCCCATTTTTAGCTCCAAGTCATTATTTCTTGCCGTTTGGAAACACCATGCTTTAAGACACTCTAAGAGTTTGTCCGTCACTGGCATAAACTCTTCAAATCAACAGCAGCGAGGGTGTTCGACCCCCGACTCAAACACAAGGAGGAAATGGGCTTCAAGAGTTCAAAACAAAACCGATGGAGGCCAAATCTTGGGTTCTCGACATTGTGGGGAAGCGGCCAAATGTTTATATAGGTCTCAATCCCAGTAAACTTGGACAGTTGATTTACCGACTCCTGATTTGCTTTGACCCGCCCAGTCGGCAAGTGTGTACGGCTTTTACACTTCCAGTCTTGGCCCCGGGTCCGCAAGACTCGGCTGCAGGCTTCAGGCATGGATGTTGGAGGACACTTCGATCAGCAGGTCAACCCACAGCGATAGACTCTTGCAACGATAGACTGCGAGGAGGTAAGATAGTTGTTTTTTTTCTCCATTTGACGTGCCGATTGATTAC